GGAGAACGGGACTGCTGATGTGGAAGCGCCGCCTACGTGGCATGGCGCGAGGGTGCTGACATGGCATCCAGGTATTAGCAGGGCATTGTCTGACATGGCACGTACCTGTGTCACGACTTACCTGCTGACGTGGCGCTCCATACTCCAGCGGTACCTTCGATCTGGCGTGGCATACCAGTGGTTGATGATCTGGCAGACGGCGCGTCGCTGACGTGGCACCCTCCTGAAGGCCTTCTTGGCTGTTGACGCTGACGTGGCAACTGTGTGGAGGTGTTGTGTTGGCATGCCAGGGTGACACGTGGCAGTTGATGTGCGCTGCCACTGGTGAGAGGTTGATACTTGCACTTGTGTGCTGGCGGGCGGTACAGCATTGCAATCAGACTCGCTTCCATTCACACTTCACACGCATGCAAACAGGTTGCGCAGCAAACTGGCGACAAGCGCCCACTCAGAACTCAGAGATATGGTAGCCAAGAACGCAGTTCGGATACAAGTTCACTTCAAATGGCTATGGCGGCACAGCGCCTGTACAACTCTCTGCTCGTCACTCACTCAACACCACTGTTCACACACAGGATCACCCTGGATATCCCACACGCAGCACACTATACATTCATACACTCACACACGCTACTCTCTCCTATCAGCTATGCCGGCTATGGCCGCTACTACCCTATCGCTATGGCTAAGCTTCATTCTCGCCCACTTCGTCTTCGGGCTCACTGCAGACCACCCCGCACAAGTCGCTGTGGCAGCGCTTCCGCATGGCTTACGCAGAAATGAATGAATGGCTGGGTGCTGCCTCTTGATTTATACTTCTGTAGCTCGTTGGTCTGGCCCTTTCCCATGCCCTGGGTACACACAGTCCCATACAGTACTTGCTTGACTGGACTAGGACTGACTGGGACTGGGACTGCTGACTCAGCAAGGGTAGACTCCACCACTTGCCCACTTGCCTCAGTCTAAACGTGAGCAGCTTCGAAAGGCCACGACTAGGACCTTCCAGAACTCTTGGTCCTGGCCTTTCAAAGACTGTAGCAGCTACGACCTTGACCTTTCAGGACTGTAGCAGCTACGACCTTGACCCTTCAGAAGTTCTACAGCTACGACTTCTACCCGACAGGTCTACAGATCGAACCCCTACCATCTACGGACCCTACGACAGTCTACCAACTGTGGGAACATACACAGGTCGTGGGTTCAACTCCTGGGGTCGACACAGGTAATGTACACAGGTAAGGTAAGGTCTAGGGATCGAGCCCTGGGATCTGCATTCGCTACTGCGAACACGTGAATACCGTTTCAGCATCCCCGTGCCCTTTGGTAACGAACCCCCTGTCAAGGTAATCACCCCCTTCTCTTTGGTAATCAACCTCTTGTCAAGGTAGTCATCCCCTTGCTCTACGAGTTCTTGTCAACGTAATCATCCCCTTGATCTACGAGTCCTTGTCAAGGTAATCATCCCCTTGCTCTATGAGTCCTTGTCAACGTTAATCATCCCCTTGCTCTAGGAGTCCTTGTCAAGGTAATCGTCCCCTTGCTCAGGAGTGTGGATAGCTTATCATACTGAACATCGCTCAGAGTCTACAGCAGATTTCTGTTTTCAGTAACAGTAAATGAGTCTGCAGTACACCACCACCGATAGAATCAAGAATGAGCTCTCAATCTGTCAATCCTTGCTATGGCTGGACCTGGTTCTTAGTTGGTGGAGTGATTTGTCTGGTCAATTCCGTTAACAAACGAGACCTCGGCCTGCTAAATAGCTACGCGGGGACTTTTCCTCGTGGCCAGATTCTTAGGAAAAAGAGGGAAAGAGGGAGAAAAGAAAGGAAGAAAGAAAGTAAAACGAGTCTGCAGTGATCCATTCACTGAGAACACTGGTCTAGAAGTTTGTCAAAGTCTTTGAAAAACACAAAAAGTCTCAGAACAGTAAGAAAAGCAACTCACCCTGAACCGTTCCCAAAAATCAGAAAACAATGGTCTGTCAATGGCTTTCAATTGCTCCTTTGTAGCTGCATCCACACTCACATACAACTGCAGACAATGCACAAAAGAAAAATTCAAACGAAGTAAAACGGTCCAGACGGGGAAAGTCAGCAGTCAAAAGTTTCAACGTTGAAAACGATCGCAAATCTCTTTGTAATGAAGAAGTTTGTTACTTCAAAAAGAACTTCGTGATTTCGCAAACTTGAAATTTCTTCAAGCATAAAGTCAGAAGTTTTTGACTTTTTTTCTCTTCGTCATGCGCAAGTTTGTTACTCCAACAACTTCCAAAAAAAAAAAAAGTACATAATTTTGAACGAAGTTCAACAAACTTGGAATTTCTTCAAACATACTCTCCAAAGTTTCATAACCTCTTGCTCTTAAACTTTAGACTTCAAAGTTCAAAAAAATTAACTCCCTTTTTCTCCCTAATTATTTGCATGACGAGAAACAAAAAAGAAAAAGTATGCAATCAAATTTCAAAAGCCTCTGTTCCTGAAAAAAGTTCATGCCTTGAAGTAAAAAAAACTTGAAAAAGACAAAAAGAAAGTCAAAATAATTCATTATATAGTATACAGTACTGTACCACTATGCACTACGTAGCATTTACTATGTATTTGCTATTTTAATCCCTATACACTCCTATGCAATGAACCCAATCTGAAAAGAAGCTCGTCAATGTCGGAACACAGAATGTCTCAGCGCAGTTTCAATGTCTCCGAAATCGTACATATAGTCAGGTAGCCCAACGTCTGGTCATCAGAGAAGAGGATGGTGGAAGGGAGATATGAAACAGTTTTCACCTTTGGCAGTAGCCGATGCAGATCCCAGGGGTCGATCCTTTGACCTCAGCTTACCTGTGTACAGTATCTGCACATTTGCCTGGAGTTGAACCCGTGACCTGCACGATAGCCAGTGGTAAGTAGGTCGCCGTAGGTTGTAGGCTGTAGGGAGATTCGAACTGTAGACCTGTAGGGTAGGAGTCCAAGTAGAGTCCAGAGGCCTAGCTTTAGTCCTTCTAGAAGGT